GCGTCCATTTTTGTGGAGGATTTTTTTTTTTTAAAGACCTAAATGTGGAGATGAGGAGGCAGAGGAGGGTTTGTTGATTTAATAAGGTTCCCACGTATGACACAATATTAGGCTAGAGATTTTTAAAATGTTTTAAATTAGAGAATAAAGTCATCAGAATAAAGTCGTAATATTACGAGAATAGTGTCTTGAAATTATGAGAAAGTCATAACATTAAGAAAATAAACTAATACAATTATGAGAATAAAGTCGTAACATTGAGAAAATAAAGTCATATGAGGATAAAGTAACATAAGAATAAAGATCTAAACTTACGAGAATAAAATTACAAGAATAAAGTTTATTTTATGACATCTGTTGGGATCCTGAGGCTTGCCCACCAGAGGGCGCCGAGGGATATGGGGGTCTGTCTATCTTTTCTCCACCAGAGGGCGTATTGGATCTCCTGAAGCTGGAGCTGACTTCACCAGCTGTTCCTCATCTGCTCATCGGGAGACCAGCATTTAAGTGGGCTGAGGACCACACTCCAGTGCCAGAGTGTTAGTCAGTTATGGTTGAACCTGTCTGAAACCAGAAACCCCCTGAAGAGTTTCTCAGTTGGAAATCTGTCTGTCTGATCTCAGAAGAACCCTGGAGAACAAAACCAGTCAAAGATCTGCTAATCTGCCAAGGACCTGCCAGCCGACTCTCAGAAGAATCTGCAAGGGAAACTCAAACCTGGTGATCTACAAGCTCTTTACCAAGCTCAGCCTCCACCAAGCCCTCAGCCTGCCGACAGCCTCTGAACCCTCCTGGTTCCCCCCTCTGCCGCTCAGCTCAACCTCCAGAACAGTAACCGAGTCGTGACCAGCCCTGGACCTGATTACCCCCCCGATCTGTTTTCTGTACCATTTATTAATTAAACCTTTGAACTTTTTCCCCAGTCTCTGTGTGTGTGTTCTGCATGTGGGCTAGGAACCAAAACCCAAACATGACAACATCTCTTCCCAGAATCCCTTTCTTCCCTAAATGAGGAATGTGGAGCATCATGTGAAGTTCTACTTTAGCATCGGTTTGATAAATCAGGAAATCTTTCAGCAGCAGCATCAAACTGGGCAGGATGTCAAAGTGGACTCTGGTTGCTGATTGGTGGAGCTGGTC